AGTTGCTGTCACAGCACAGGGCCTGCAATTCATGTCTCTAGACAAGTCTTCTCCTTTTTGCAGACTCATAGAGCAGGCTACGGTTCGTCTCAGTGACTGCCCTTGCCTCAGCTCTACAGCCAAGTAGTCAGAACATCCGTCTAAGGAGACACAAGGAAAATCAATAGACCTAGATGGACAGTATCTAAGTAACCATTTACTCCTGAAACTCTTCCAACAATGGAGCGGTCTTTTTACAAGTTATATCAAACTCTCTCATTTCTCTGGTCTCTGGAAGGAGACAAGGCTCTCTCTATTAGTGAGAAGAGAATAAAAGAGAGGATTAGGGCTGTGACTTAGTTGGTGTCATAGTTAGGGTTTTGTTGCTGTGAAGAGACACCATGACCACAGTAACTCTAATAAAGGAAAACATTTAATTGGGGCTGGCTTACAGTTCAGATGTTTAGTCCATTATGGTCGTGGCAGGAAATATGGAGTCACACAGGCAGACATGGTGCTGGAAAGGTAGCTGAGAGTTCTACATCTTGATCCACAGACAGCGGATGGATGTGAACGCCTCACTAGGCATAGCTAGAACATCTGAGAGCACAGAGTCAGCCTCACAGTGACGCACTTTCTCCAAGGCCACACCTTCTAACTAGTAGTGCCACTCCCTATGGGCCAGGCATTCAAACACCTGAGTCTCCGGGGCCATTCCTATTCAAACCACTGCAGATGGAAAGGAGCTTGTCTAGGTCATAGAAAGCCCAGGGCTCCATCCCCAGTACTGCATCAACCATGAACAGGGACTCACCTGGGATCCCAGCATGGGGGAGGTAAGGCTGAGAACTGGGATATCAAGACCATCCTCTACTACATAGTGAGTTCAAGGCTAGCCTGGGCTACATGAGACCCTACGCCAAAAAAGAAAATGAAGAAAAAAAGCAGGGATGGAGAGGAAAGAGAATTTAAAAACGTGCCCCCCCCAACACACAGGTATATAAACTATTTATTAACAGTGAAGGCCCAGGGACTCATTTCTTCTTGGACACACCCACAGCACAGCCCCAGAGGCCAGTGGTCTTGGTGTGCTGACCTTGGACACGAAGGCCCCAGAAGTGTCGCAGGCCCTGTGGGCTCTGATCTTCTTCAGGTGCTCCAGGTCCTCATGCAGCTTGTTGTCTAGCCCATTGGCCAGAACCTGGCTGGACTTTCCGTCCTCCACGCCCTTCTGTCTGTTCAAGAACCAGTCTGGGATCTTGTACTGCCGTGGGTTCTGCATGATGGTGATCACGCGCTCCACCTCGTCCTCTGTGATCTCTCCAGCCCTCTTGGTGAGGTCGATGTCCGCTTTCCGCAACACCACACGAGCAAATCTTAGCCCCACACCCTCAATGGCAGTGATGGCGAAGGCTGTCTTCCACCGCCCATCGGTGTTGGTGTTGAGGACTCGCAGAATGTGCTGGAACTTCTCAGGGATTGCTAGAGACCTGGCGGCGGCATGGTGTAGACCTCCTGCGGAAGAGCTAAAAACATGCTTTTAAAAACAACCGTGCAATCTTGCCCTGGAGCTGTTTAGTAGAACCCTTTGCATTTGGAATTATTATTCTGAGAAGAAAAGCCAATGGATGCAAAGGTCTGCGCAGTAAATTAGCAATTCTCATGATAGGTCTTGATATTTGATGTCAGATAGCTTTCCGTGAACTAAGCCTCCAGTTTCTTTCTGAGAGCAAACAGAAAATCTGCTCCCTGTAGACTTCAACAGAAGCGAAAGAAACCAACAGAATTCTACCAGTGCTCTGCGATCCAGACGGGATTGAGGAGTGAGCTCCCTGGGATTCACAAGCCTGAACCCTGGCATTTGCAGACCTGATGTTTCTCAGTTTGTCTCTCTGCAGATGATCCTCGAGTTTCGTTCCAGGAAGAACCTTGCTGGCTTGGGAGAGCACGGATTTGAATAACTGCCCTGCTCTGGGGGTATCCACGTTACTGCAACCACTCAGTAAGTGGAGGTGTCCCTTGCAGCTCTGTCCAAGTAGCCTTGCTTCCTCCATCAACTGCACTTGAAGACAGTTCCAGGATCCTCTTCTGCTTCATGAAGAGTTTCGTAGTAAGTATAACATCTGAGGGGGACATATATCAGTTGGTACTTGCTTGATGTGCAGGAAGGCCTGAGTTCAATCAATGCCCAGTGCTCTATAAAAACAGGTATGGTTAATGCATACCTACAGTCCTAGTACTTAGGAAGTGGAGGCAGGAGGATCAGAGCTCTATGGTCCCACACTCCTTCCAATCCCGATGCTAGATAGTCAGGCCAGGAAGACCGTACTGGTCTGTAACTCGACAGTGGTCTCTCTTCAGACCGCTTCTGAACAAATGCACCAAATAGAGCACCACCCACCCAGAGGAGATGTCATGGATCACATAAATAGAAGTCACTCCAGTAATTATGTAGCAAAGGGTAGGCTGACAGTTTTGTTTGGCCTCTTTGGCTCTTTAGAAATCAAGAGGTGTTTGAGGTTTTTGCTGTTCTGTTTTATTGAGACAGGGTCACATGCAGTCTAGAGTAACATCAAAGTTCTCATCTCCCTGCCTCCACCTCCTGAGTGATGCAATTACATGCATGCGCACCATCTAGTTATTGAGAACAAATTCGTGACTTTGGGGATTCATATGTGGGAGTCTTCATGGATCTACGCTTTCTGCTTATACAATTAAAACACCTACATTGCTTCATTCTAAATATTGGAAAAGCCTTTATTTCTTCATTTTAATAATAGTATGCAGTGTTTAGTTAGCCAAAATATTTACAGAGGAGTGAGATGAGAGAGCAAAACCAAGACAATTCACCTGCAGCTTATGCTTGCCCAACACGAACTCCGGGGAACTGGGAATTCTTCAACAGCTTTTTTTCTAGACTGAAGAAAATAATAATAATAACAGTTGTGACAAAAACCCTGTGAAGGGAAGGAGGCATAAATTATGAGCTCTAAAGAAATCAGTCCTGGCCAGACAAGGGGCAGCGCACCTTAGGAGGCAGAGGCAGGAGGATCACAGGTTTGAGAGCAGCCTGCTCTACATAGTAAATACCAGTCCAACCTGGCCTACAGAGTTTTTCCTGCCAGGAAAAACAAACCAACAAACAAAAAAGGGACTAGACCTATGACTGAAGTGTAGCTCAGTGGGAGACTGCCCCTTTCCTGTCATAAATTAGGGCCTGGCCTCCACCACCAGCATGGGGGAAACTGTAGACCTAGACCCATTGCAAAGATAGGATAGAAAAAACAATTTTTTCTCCTGTGTGGATTACAAAGCCTCTTCCTAAAAACTTGCTGTTTTTACCTCAGAATTTGTAAGCCAATGTGTGGGCTTTTACAAAGTGTACAAGCACTTGGAGCTTCGAGCTGGGAGTACGCAGAGCCCAATGCACCGTGCCTGGGGGGAGGCTAGAAGGTAATGATGGTGGCCTGGCTTCGGAGAGAAGTTTGAGGCTCTCTCAAAGACTCCATGGGAGCTGATTGTGTGGTATTTTGGATTTTAAGATCTGTGTAAGTGAAACCATTGCTTTACTGCGACAATCGGTGCCGGCTAGCTGGGGCTGAAGAATCCGCTGTCACTAATAAGAGGCCGGCATTGCTGTGAAGTCTTCCGGGAAGTGTCTCCTCAGGGTCAGTACTCAGAAGAGCAAGTCAGATAGCAGTGTTCCTCCGCGGCTTTGCTTCACTTCCTGGCCCCAGGCTCCTGCTTGAGACCCTGCACTCCCCCCCCCCCCCCCCTTAATTACGAACTCTAACCTATAACAATCTAACAAACCCTTTCTTCCTCAAGTGGTTTTTGTCACAGTTTATTCACAGCAGCAGAGAAACAAGCTAGGACACACAGCCTGAATTTAGTCAGACTTGTGCATGCTTTTGACATTTTGACGTTGTCATCTGCAGAGCTCATGACGGAGAACTGTACAATAAACTACAAAACAAATATCTTAAAAACCCTCCTGTTGCTGGGCATTGGTGGCGCATGCCTTTAATCCCAGCACTCGGGAGGTAGAGGCAGGTGGATCTCTGTGAGTTTGAGACCAGCCTGGTCTATCGAGCAAGTTCCAGGACAGCCTCCAAAACAATACAGAAAAACCCTGCCTCGAAAAACCAAAAAACAAACAAACAAACAAAAACCAAAAACCAAACCCCTCTGTTATGCCTTGAGGATGTTTACAGGTTTGTGTTGGGCTATGTCTTAATTTAGAGTTTTCTATTGCTGTGAAGAGACACCATGACCACAGTAACTCTTATAAGGAAAACATTTAATTGAGGAGGTTCACTTACAGTTTCAGAGGTTCAGTCCATTATCATCAGCATGCAGGCAGATGTGGTGCTGGAGCTGAGAGGGCCACATCTTACAGGTGACAGGAAGTCAACTGAGAGTCACACTGAGGGAAGCTTGAGCAAAAGAGACCTCAAAGCCCGCCCCCACAGTGACACACTTCCTCCACCAAGGCCACACCTCCTAATGGTGCCACTTTCTTCAGGGGTTATTTTCTTTCAAACCACCACAGGCTGAGTTCATAGATATCCTACAGGGCATGTGTCTCGGCCTCTCACTCACCACAGAAACACTGAGATCACATACATTAAACCATACCTGCAAATACACATGAAGGAGACCCTGCCTCAAAACAAGCACCCACCCCACAACTCAAGGTTGTCCTCAGACTTTCACAGGCATGTGAGTATGTGAGTGCCCTTGTGGACATGCACACACATACAAATTAAAACATTCAATTTACAGTAACATGAGAGATTTATGCCAGGAAAGTAGTTTTAGGCAAGTGGTGGTGGTGGGGGGTGGCACATGTCTTTAGTCTCAGCACTCAGGACACAGAGGCAGGCAGATCTCTGTGAGTTCTCAGCTGGCCTGGTCTAGAGCTAGTTCCAGGACAACCAAATCTGTACAAAGAAACTCTGTTTTGAAAACAATCAAAAAACAAAAAGAAAACAGAAAAAAAGTAAAAGAGAGAGAAAGAAAACAGTTTTAAATTAGTAAAGTAAAATTTTGGTAACAAAAATTATCTAGGATTTTACATAAGAGGACCAAGAAGTGAGACAACGTAGGTTCAAGATGTACCCAGAGTTCCCTGGTGCAATGGGAAATTTTCTTTCTTCTGTTTTGCTGTGCAGGGGATCAGATTTAGGACTTCATGCACGCCAGGCCAGTGATCTATGACTGAGCCACACTCCTGTTCCCTGCAATGAAAAATTAAAATCAACTTGGTCATGCCCTGATATTTGGTCAAACACTCTTGCAGTGAAGCCATTTCTTAGATGAGATTAACAGTTAAATAAGCAAGACTTTTAGTGATCTATAAGTCAGATCGGCCCGAATAAACGAACCCTGACCTTCAAAAGCAAGAGGGAATTCCGCTAGAAGACAGCTTTGGGACTTGAGCTGCAACCGTTCCTCAGGTCTCCAGGCTGCCAGGCAGCTCCATGTGTTTTACCTCCTGTACTTGGAATAGGCAAACATCTTCAAATAACCGTGCATCTACATCTACATACCCAGTAGGGAGGAGAGTGTAGAAAGAGTGGGAGAGGATGCTTGAGGATTTTTCAGAAATGGGCAAAGATTCCAGTGCACAGATTCAAGAATATTAATGAGCTGCACGTGTGGCTAATATAAAGACATCTGCATCAGGCACATCACCAGAGTGGAATAAGAACCCAAACAAAGATGGAGCAGGGTGGCGGTACACATGCCTGGATTCCCAGCTCTTGGAGGATGAAGGACCAGGAGTTCAAGTCCAGCCTCAGCTACGTTTCATGGAGCAGTGACAGGATGAAGGGGTACATAACTCTTGTGTGTTCGTATGCTGGGGACCAACCTCAAGACTCCATGCCTGCTGAGCAAGGCACCGTTCTGCTGACTCAGCACCTACACAGTGACTCCTCAGTGACTTGCTCTGCTGTGCAAACCAGGCTCTCCTGGATGAGATCACACAGTCCCCCCACAGGGAACGTCTTTTTCTGTCTGGTTGCTTTAATAAAATATTGAGTTTGAGTACTCCGTAACGAAAAGATGTTTGCTTGGCCCGACCATTCTGAAGAACAAGAACATGACACCAACTTCTACTTGGTTCTGGAGAAGTTGGAACGGTGGATCTATGTTGAGATCTGCCACAAGGCATCAAGTCAAGACAAGCAAACCCACTTGATAAAGTTTTTGCAGGAACCAAACCTTCCCCTGAAACAGCGTGAATTCCTTCGTGAACACAAAGGGCCATACCTTCCTCCAGACCAGCCTACTTCAAAGTTCCATCACCTCCACATGCCATACTGGGGACCAAACTTGGATTCAGTCTGTTACATGAGCCTCTTGGGGGCAAACACCAGCAGGGAGGCACTTTGGACTCTGCAGCTGTTTGCACAGCAAGGGTTGACAGCTGGTGAATCAAATCTCCCAGGGTCAAGCAGTGTTGTGAGCATCTTTGGATCTCCATCCTTCTCTGTATGTTTGATTTCTGTAAGCATCAGTTGGGATCTTGCTTTTATCTAAAGGTCAGTTTAAAAAAAACAAGCAAACAAAAGAACCAACAACTTGGATGCACCAGTGGATGAATTCTCCTGTTTGGGCCAGAGTCTTTCATCAGAGGCTCCTTTACTGGGTAGAACACTTCATACTGTGTCTTTATTCCTGGTTCATCCTTTTTGAATCTTTTGTAAATAATGTACTGTCTTTAATTTTGCTTTAATCAGTGCTTCTGTGGCATTGTTTATTAATTTTTAATTTATAGGTTAGCTCCTTTGTGTTTGATTTTTTGCCATGTTTTTACTTTATATTTCATGAAACAGCAAACTATTCACCCCAGAATTACTTACTGAAGAGTACATCTTCTCACCTTGGTGTGAAATACTATCTTCCTGATTCATTAAGTTCCTATGTTGCTTGTCTCATTAAGTTTTCATGTTTGTGGTCCATCTACCAATGATACTTACAACTATCTTCCCAAAATCCACTTATTTGTTTAAATTTTAATTCTAATATATCAGCATGGTTTCTACTGTGATTTAAAAAAAATTTGTTGCTTGGTTTCTGTTTTTTTGAAGCAGGGTCTATTATAGCCCAATTGGTTTTGGACTTGCTGTTTAGCTGAAGTTGGCCTTGATTCTCTTGCCTCTGCCTCCCAAGTTGTTGGGTTATAGATAGGAGCCATTGCACTCAGTTTGTGGGCAGTTTGGAGTTTGGGAGAGTTTTTGATAGTTTTACTGATAGTTAAGACATAGGGATAACGATCACAGTTAATTCTCCATCTGAAGGGCAAACACTTTTATTATCGCAAAACCAAGCAGTATATTTTTGGAAGAATTTTTTTTAACGTTCATCATGGTGGCAGGTAGTATTTTCTGAACATTATTGCAAAAATATGTGGATTTATATATATATTTTTTAAAAATCCAGGGCTGCAGAAATAGCTCACTGAGCACTTTCTGCTCTTCCAGAGGACCCAGGTTTGAGTCTCTGCACCCACATGTGGTTCTTGACCATCTGTAACTCCAGTTCCAGGGGCTCCAACACCCTCTTCTGGCCTCCACAGTGACAGGGCATGAAAGTGGAGCACAGAGATACATGCAGGCAAAACACCAGTATACATAAAACAAAATGTAAACATTCAAAAGAAGAAAGGTTGTATATTTCACACATAAATTTTTATATAATGAAATTTACATACATGTGCCTGCACACACACACACACACACACACACACACACACACACACACACACACACATAGACACAGAATCTTGACATGTGGCCCAGACTGTCTTCAATCTCACAATCCTCCTGCCTCAGCTTCTCATGCTGGGGTTGTGAAACTTGATCATTCCTTTCTGTTTCTACTTTGCTAAGAGCACTTTTAAAAATTGAGTGGATATTTAGCTTTATCAAGTTACTGTCTCCCATCTCAGCACTGGCACATGGAGTTTCTCTTTGATTCCTCTGGTGGGGGAAATGTTACTAATTGAGTTCCCAATGCCTGAGCCAATATTCCTTTGCTGGGACAAACCCAGCTTGCTAGTGACCCGTTGCCTTTCGAAAAAACCATTTCACAGGCATTTAATCCTGATTAGAACTATGCAAGCTTTTTACAGCAAAATAACACACACTGAGAACCATAAAATCAAATTAAAACACCAGCAATTGTACAAGGCTTAAGAAAAATCCATGAAATTTCATGTAAAGTATACTTCAGTTTACACAGCTTTGTTTCAAAGAAAGCCAAGTATTAGTTACTTTGTACAAATAAAATGCACCCCAAGGTCTATTATTTGTTATTTTGTTTTGTTTAGGATTGGTTTGCTTTGATTTGAGATTTTGTTTTGAAACAAGGTCTCACTATATATCCATCCCAAACTGGCCTTGAATTCCAAGTACTGCCTGCTTCAGCCCCGGGAGTGATCGGAGTGTACCTCTCCTCTTCTCGGTGTCTTAAATTACATGCCCCAATATGCTCTAGAGACTAAGGAAAGATGATCAAGAGTTCAGTGCCATCCTTAGCCTCATACTGAGTTGGAGGTCAGTCTGGGCCTCATCTCAAAAAATCAAGAAAAGCAAACAGTAACAAATACAGACCATTACCTACAAGTGAAATTCTCTTGAGCACAGATCCAGGGTTCTACTGGGGTTCAGTGAGACAGGTCTAGAGGCCCTGCATCACTCACCTTAAATACCCAGCCCCCTCCCCTCACCCCATAAACCACCATGCTAGTCATTATCCATAGCTTCAGCTCTCCAGGGACTCTTACGAAGCAAGGGCTCCCAAGAGTTTGGAGATTGTCTTCCAAGAGCTGGTCAAGAGCCAGTACTTAAGACTATGTGACTCTCCGAAGCCAGAGATAGAGATATCACTTCCCTGCACACTTTGAGGAAGACGCAGGTATTGTCTCCTTCCCTTCAACAACTGAAACATCTAAGCTAAAGTTGGCCAATGCAAGTCCCTAATCTTTGACTTCCTTATTCTACTTAGATATTCGGCCTTGTAATTCACTATCTTACTTACAGTCCTGTTGATATCTTAGGCTTTAAGACATATTTTATTGTGTATATCAGCTTTCCCTTTACCTACTGTCTTAGTTAGTGTTTCTATTTCTGTGAAGAGACACCATGACGACAGCAACTCTTATATAGGAAAACATTTCATTTGGATGGCTTACATTTTCAGAGGTTTAGTTTATCTTCCTGGTGGGACATGACAGCGTGCAGGCAGACATGTTGCTGGCTACATCTTGATACGCAGACAACAGGAAGTGATCTCCCACTGGGCATGGCTTGAGCATATATGAGACCTCAAAGCCCACCTCCACAGCTACCCCAACAAAGCCACAGATCCTAATAGTGTCACTCCCCTTGGGGGGCCATTTTCTTCCAAAGCATCACACCTACCATCTCAGGAAGCTTCTAGAGGCTAGAAAATATCTAGACAAGCCGGGCGTTGGTGGCGCACGCCTTTAATCCCAGCACTCGGGAGGCAGGTGGATCTCTGTGAGTTCGAGGCCAGCCCGGTCTACAAGAGCTAGTTCCAGGACAACCTCCAAAGCCACAGAGAAACCCTGTCTCGAAAAACCAAAAAAAAAAAAAAAAAAAAAAAAAGAAAATATCTAGACAACTACAATATTGGAGATGGAAGATAGCTCCCTTGTTTTCACTTTCTTTTATAAAATGATAAACAGGTGCATGTTTCCACTTCCTGGATGCTTTACTATAAATCTCTTTTTGTTAGCATCTAAATAAATTGTACTTTTTCTTTTTCTTTTTAGCTTTTTTGAGACAGAATTTCTCTATGTAGTCCTGGCTGTCCTAGAACTCACTCTGTAGACAAGGCTGGCCTTGAATTTAGACATCCACCTGTGTCTGCCTCCCAAGTGCTAGGCTTACAAGCGTGTACCACCACCGCCCGGTCTACTTCCTTTTTTGATGCAGGCAGTATTTTGAGGATCGTGCTTTAGTTTTGAAGGAGTCTTGCCTCTGCCTTCCCCGTGTTTTCACATTCTGGTGTTGATTTCTAACCTAATTGAATTGCAGGCAGAAAGTGCACTTTATGAAATCTTTATGTCTGGGAATTTATGAACATTATCCTTGGGCCGAATACATGATCATTTTTATGAATATTCCATAAGCAACTGAGATTTCTGTGCTTTTTCTGCTTATAGAAATCTAAGGAAACAGAAGTAAATTTAAGAGAAAGAAAAGAA